ATACATCCTATTATTTCAGTTACATTTTTTTCCAGATTAGCCATTTGGGCCATGAAATGTGATATGCAATTTACAATGCTGTGAAATACAGAATAATGGAGATCACAATTTTCCAGAGGGTGAGGTGACCTGTTTGACCTCATATAAACCTTTTCATCTCCAATTAACCTGCAAATTATTTTCTCTATGAATCCATCTGTCATTTTGGTCTACAAAATGTCAGAAAATAGTGAAAAATGTCCATCACAGTTTCTCTGAACATAAGATGACATGGCAAAAAATCACATGTTTTTTTCCTGACTAATAGTATAAAACCACTAAATATTCAGTCAACTATTATTTATGACAGAAAACCAGAAAATCCTCACATTGAAGCAGCCGAGACCTCTGGATGTCTAACATTTTTGCATAAAAGTATTTATCAGTTAAAATATTTGCAGATCAATTTTTTATGGACTAGTTGTTTCAACTCTGAATTAATTAAATATATAAACATATATGACAAATCTGCAAATTTTCTAAGATGAAACAAGGGAATGTTTTTGCTCAATAAATGGTGCAAATTATTAATGGCCTGACAAAATACTTTTAGATTAATTTTCTGTCTTACTCAATGAATCGCCTTATCATTTCAGCTGTGTGTTAAATAGTTTTTAAAAAATGAATTATTGGCTCTACACCAGGTTAAAGGCAGAAAAGAGAGGCTTATGTAATTAAGAATTAAGAATAATACAACTGAGGCAAAACAACAAGTATGGTCAATACTGATCTTGTTCTGATTAGAGCCTGCTGATACCCAGCTCACTGGCTGTTAGGCTACTTCCTAGCTGGGAGATTTTATAATTTCCTTGTTTCCTCAGTATAATTGCAGGACTGTTGTAGTGGATTTACAAAATCTATAATAAAATACGATTAATTTGCATACAAGCTACTTTGCACAAACCTATTTGAGACCAGCCTTTCAAAAATCACACAGTCAGTGAGTCAGATTTGCCAGGAACCCAGACACCTGCACCCTTCTGAGGAATGTCGGCCACCCAGTTTCTCACACACACACACACACACACACACACACACACACACACACACACACACACACACACACACACCTGCCCAAAGAGCTCCAACTGTGGACAAGGATTTAAAAACCTACAGATAGTCTTCCTGTAAGATCTGTCCTAAATATTTCCACTGTTTAATGTGAAAAATGCCTGATAACGCCGCAGAATCGTAGACAAGACCCAGTAACAGTGTCTACGAATCGGTTAAACTGGAATGAAAGGAACCTCGCTTAGTTCAGTCCACAGTGAACGCCCTTTTTCGCTTCCCGGAAAACAAACCATGGCTATTGGTCTGGCGAGCATTAAGCATTATTTTTAGGTGGCTTCATTCAGAAAAGCTAATGTGGTATAATCAGAAAGCTGTCCTCTAGCACGGTGAGTAAAAAACAATAGATGGGTTAAAGTGCAGTGGCGCTTCCCATTCAGCAAGCGCCGAACAATGACTGAGCTGCGGAGCATCACTGGCTTCCACTTACAGTCAGTAGCAGCGATTCATGCTGGATTAAAAGCTTCTCCTAAAGCACACAGAGCAAATGTAACGATTTACCGTCGAACATACCACCGATCACCAGCAGTAAATAACCGTGAACTAACCTGTGAGTGTCGTTAGACGATGTTGTTCCTGATTCCCGGCCGCACAGCTGATGATCTCTCCCGCTCATCCACGGGGTTTCCCTCCAATCAAAGACACAGCGGCAGGGTCGCACCGGGACGGATGACGTCAGAATCGTGTTGCTGGGGCAACCAAATTTACGGGCAGAAAATTTTAAAAGCCATGTAAACTCAGTCAGTGGACAATTTTAAAGATTTTTCAAGTTTCCGAAATATATTTTAGAATGAATATTATATTATTTATATATTATTATATATTAAATAAATATTATATATATATATATATATATATATATATATATTAATATATATATATATATTTATTATTTAAACCTAAGTAAACAATACGTACAGGCCACACCTTTTGTTTCTGAATTCTTCTAACTGTAAAAGCACATACAAATTGGACAGTTACTCACTTAATTTACTGTGCGAATACAGAAAAGTGCACATCCCGTGAGCGTTTGCTCAGCAACGCCCGCAAAGGCTCGTGGAAGATGTAGTTGGTGAATTTCAAGGAGTTCAGTAGATGTTTTTAAAATAGGGGGAAAAAAAACAGTAATCTGGTTCAGCGATTCAGAAAGGATCATGTAAGAAGAAAATGGGCACAGAAATTAACCCGGAAGTGTTTCTTAACGGGCTCCGTGTTCATATAGGCTATATATATATATATATATATATATACACACACATAAATATATATATATTTATGTGTGTGTCTGCTATATGTGCAGATTTAGTATTGAAATTCTGATAATTTAATTGCACTAGTGGGACTATACAGTATTACACCTCTGAAGAGAACTATATTTCACAGGCCAGCTTTTTTCCTGCACACAGTGACATATAAAATGTGCATAATATTACACAAAACATCAAAATTCTTTAACAAGCATTCCTGTGGAAGTAATGATGTTTTGACCTATCACTAATCCCTCAGTGGCATAGATCTACTGAGCCCCCTGAGAGGTGACATCATTTCTAACCCTGACCTTAAGTAGGTTGTTAAAACTGTCTTTGAATCCTACCCTCACCCTGGCAAAGACATGATACTTGGCTGCTTAACCAGGTTTCACAGTGAGTCAACATGTATCTGCTTAAGCCAAAGTGCATTTAGCACCCCGCTGGTTTCATAGATAGTTTCTGCAGATGCCATGGCCTGTTTATCTAGTTCCACTAGTTTACAAATAGCCACTTATTTGGCCCTTTGGTATCACACATGAATCATGTCCGTTGACTTGTCTTACAAAAGAAAATAGAAAAATGTTTTCAGTATGAAGTTCTGTGTGAGTGTAAGAGTTCAGGCAAGTCTAGAGTCATCAGGTGGGCACCCTCTTAGCAGCTGGTGAGTTGGACCTATGACACTGACATAAGGCCTGACAGCCTTTTTTCAAGGGAATCATGTGTGGAAAAGTTTCTGATTCCAGAGAGGGTACTAATCAGTGGTGAGTAGGACTAGAGAAACTAGATAAACAGTGATGATAACTGGACAAACAGTGTTTCTCATTATTATATAGAAATAATTTCAAACGTTTCTAAAATTCCTGACACATTTATTACAACAAACAGCAGAGGTAGAAGAGATGTCTACACATAAATTATACTTGAATAAAAAGGCCTCTCCAAAATATTCCTAATGGGAAAAATGGCCCAAGCTCTGGAAGCTCCACCTAGTGTCTACCTTGAAAATCTCTTCAGGAAATAAAATGACAAGATATTACAAGAGGCGTAATAAACTATTCCAGCAATAATATGTTACAGAAGCTTTTTAACCAGGGTGTGTCTTTGCTTTTGAATTAGGTTTTGAGTTATTTTGAAGTAGGCCAGTAGATGGCAATGGCCCTTTATATTAATTTTGAAACACAAGCTTTTTTTGGGCCCAGAGGTACTAATAATACAACAGTGCTATTGCCATGGTGGGCACTGATCAGTAAGGATTTAAAATGCCTATAAACAATTGTCCACAATTCTGAATTAACCTTAGATTGTTTAAATGACATAAAGCCAAAAACACAGTGTTTCAGAGTTTCATTATCACCAGTACAATGAGAGCAGATCATGGTTTGCAGCTGTTTTCATCTCTTCAAACTGACATGTGCCTGGAAATAGATGATCTATAGCCAGTGGGAATATAATTAATTCCTTCACCTAATTAAGACAACTAATTTCATTTTGTGCAAGTGCTCTGCTTTTTCCTGTTAGTACTGGGCCTGGATTCAAACAAACAGGCCATAACACAGAGGACATCTCACAGATGTGTGTGTCTGTTTGTATGAATGAACATGTCTTGTATTTTTTCATTCACAAGGTTACAGATGGGAAGGAAGGAGGTGGATTATGTAGGAGGACATGGAGAAACAATGTGGGCAATGACTCATTCAGCCGAGCTGCATATACCATTAATAAAAAACACGGCAGCACACCACTAGCTTTTGTTTTCTGAATACACAGAATGAGTATTCAGCATTTAGCATTATTTCTCCTGAAATTATTTAAACACTATAAAGAAGATACATTTTGTGGCTCTTGAAGACTGAGTGAATATAAGCAAGCTTCTAATACATATCATGCAATGACGTGGTTATTTCATGTCTGTATGTCCACACATCTTATCAGTTACTGACTCTGAGCTTAACCGAATGCAACTGTCATAGCTGGAGAAAAGCGAACAGTGGGAGTTGATGCTTTTTCTGATGAAAAAGCTCTTTTGCTGCTGGTCAATGGGCTCAGACAGGATTCATTGTTTTTGTTAATTAGAAGCACAGTGCTGACGTTTGACTCATTTCCTGTTGTGGATGTGAGCCTTTTTTGACAGTTGGTATCAGGTTCAACATCATATCACTGATATATATGTTTCATGATCATTTGAATATCAGTTTCAGTTTTGGCACTGGTATTTTTGGTTGTTTGCTTCAAGTTATATTTTCCAAATGTAACTTGTTTTCCTTTTCAGTTTCCCGGAGGGATTTATGAAAAACTCTCAAAACAAAAACATACTCACAATTCTGATTCAGAACCTTGATGTTTGCAAGCTGCTTCGATTTTTGTTCATCATTTGTCATCATTTACTTATGTGAGCAGTCAATTTGGATGTAAAATATTGTATAACTATGAAGCTAACAAAACCTCAAAAACTACAGTAGATAGGGTGTTTTAGTCCATTAAGCCAGAGCCACGCATACAGTATGTGTGACAGAAAACTTCCATCCCGCCAGGTAGAGAGAATTCTTTCAAATAATACCATCTACTGAAAGAGACAATGTCTGTGTGCAATTTGTCTCCTTCAGCAGACAGACTACAAAATATAATGACAGAAAAACGCAGATATACAACAAAGTAAAATTTAATAAAATGCTATAATACATCATTGGAGCATAAATTCATTTTCCAAGCATACAAATGTTGTTGACAAGCTCCCGTAAAATTTTATTAACTTGCAATTCATTTAGCAGCTTGGAAATAGCTGGCAAAATTTCATATTTTTATGACCCCACATAAAATCATGATTAACTAGATGAAAGACTGCAGTACAACAGGGCAGACAGCGCTGTGGAGGAACAGATAATAGGGAAAATCTCACTGCCTCCATTTTATTCATTACTAAACATTCAAAGCCAAATTAAACGGAATAACTAATAAAACAGATGAGGTCACATTTGCGACAAACTAGAAATTTGAATTAAAACATTTTGTCTACATCCCATCCAATCCAAATCCGTGCTTTGCAAGCAAACTGTGTGTTTACCTCATGTGGCATGCTGGCTGTAAAGGTTTAAATCAGACACTCAATCCTGTAAAGCTTCAGATAAAGAGGTACAAGAGCTAGCAGCAAGAAATATCCCTATGTGAACAACACTTCGTGGGCAGTGAGGAGTTTGTTCTGAGAAACTGTGAGAATGAAGCAAGAAATTTTCATTCACCACTTGGATCATAAAAGTCATCAGTGACCCAGAAATCAAAACCAATATTTGGGTTTAACCCCTCATATATTTGAACACAAGCAAAAACAGGACTGGATGGGAGGAAGGATTGCATCAAAGGCAACCTGGCCTGTTAAAGTCTAAACGAAGATAACTGCTTCATGTTGTTTACATTAAATCATCCATTGCTGTCAGACAAGTGCAGAGTAGGTGCAGGGCCTTGAAGAACTCAGTTTGGTGTCCACGGTGGCTGCTTATGCCTCCACTCCCTCTAACTCAGGGGGCAGAGGAGATTTCGGATGCTTGCTCTCAAAGTGTTGCTTGAAGGTTTTTGGGTCGGGCATCTGGGACTACAGAAGAGAACGATACATCCAACAAAAACTGTGTTATAATTTAGGGAGATGGTACAAGACTTGCATTTGGTTGAATATGACTTCTCAAAGATAGAAGAAGTTTATACAAATCAAAAAAGGAAGCAAATGGCAGCAATGTGTCAGAGATCAGGCTTCATACTCACCCTGCACACAGAGCAGGTGAACACTAACGCCGCCTTGGCTGCCGTCTTTTGATCATGACCCTTGGCTTTCTTCATTTCTGCCTGTTTCTTGGCATTTTTCTGCTGAGACTGAATCTTCTGATGCCCACGTGCCATGATGGCAAAGCCTAGAGAGGAGGATACAAGGACAAAGTTCTTAATTAATGGTACTGATAAACAGAAATGTTGTTGTATAATACATAGCAAAGGTAAAATATGGGTGATAGACTATTATAAATTATGATGTATATGATACGCAACTTACTGTGTGTGACATCAGTATTTTACAGGGCTAATGCAAAGCCGTTCTTATAGGCAGCTAAAAGTTTAATGGATACAAAGACACGACAAAAAAAGCAAAGAGCCAGCAACTGCCCGTCAGCCAGGGTCAGGCAAATTAAACAAGATAAAACTCCCATCTGACCTCAACTGAAATACAGGTGTTTCAGGTGAAAAACAGTCAACACGCTGGCTCATAAAACCTTGACCAGCATGAATGTAGGGATTGTGCAATTCCTGAAAGATATTCAGGAAAAGGGAACCTAAACAACATTAGAAAAGCTTAGCATAGTGGTTGGACATGGGCCTATTCCAAGAAGTAACTTATTTGTATTTATTCTGCTGAATAACCCTGAAACCACTTTAAAGGTTCCAGGTTTTATCAGCATGGATAAACTTGTTTCTTGGAACAGGTCCAGGTTTGGCAGGTTGTGCTACAGATTTATTGGCAATTTGCACTTTCAGGAGGGTAGTATCAGAGAAACAAGTTCTCTCTTATTCTTAACAGGAATTTAAACACAGATTCCTACTGAAAAACTAGTTTCTCCCATCCAGGGCAAACTCCAAGGATGCCATTTTCAATAAGATCCTTCCTTGATAAAAGGTTCATGTGGATACAGGTGAAGGTTTGGGTATGTGGTTAGGACCTCAGGCTCCAACTACAACTACAAAAGGAAACCATAAAAATGCAAGCTTATTGGTATGGCTGGGTTAAAATGAACCATGGTCCCTTGAATTTGACACAGAGTACCAATATTAAATAGTAATGCAGAATCCACTTTAAGGCCCTTATCATTTTAGTTAAATTGAGCTTAAGTGGTGCATAGTCCCTATGAAAAGTTTTAAGGTATGCATTTTTTTTAATCTGGATAAGTATTCATATTATTGCTAGTTTTGAAAAGGTTTATCCTAACTTTTTAAATCCTAACAAATTCCAGTTAATCAAGTTATTACACTCTGATTGAACCTGAGGCATTCAAGCCCCTGTAGGTCTAGGGACTTGAGGCAGTTGCCCACTTTTCCCTGTTGGTAATCCAGCCTTGCTTACTAGCAAGTTCTATAAATAGGCAGCTGTTAGCAAGCAATGGATGTTAGTGTTAACTAGTGTTGATTATCTTATGCGAAATCTGGTACGCTTGTACACTCAGTCTATTTACCTCAGTCAACACCATATGTTATCAAACTGGTTTAAAAACTGGGTGCAGTAGTCCTAGGTGCTTGAGGCATTCAATGTAATATAGTAATTTTGGTGATATAACTCTTCAGAAGTAGGGACAGAGAAAATACAGACGAGTTAGCACGTTAGCAGTCACTGTTTTTGTCTCAGATGTCATATCCTCTCGACCTCTTCGTTTACAGTTCAGACAAGTCTTTATGTTGGGCACCTTCTGACAAAACCACAGCACATCTGACTCACTGTCATCGAGGTGACACCCGTTTGATTTGTCCTGCATTAATCCAGCTGTTATTCGAAGCTGAACTGCAAGTGTCAATCAGCTGTAACGTGGGTTAGCCTACATGCTAACCTCACCTCCCTCCGGCTATCTAGTTAGCTAGCCGGCTAACTAACCTAAAGAATATATCCTTCAGCTTGTGGTTCACCGACGATATGCCAAGCTCATCAAAATTTTTAATATTTTTTCAAAAGGACAGCAAGTCTTACCTCTTAAAGTAAGAGTACGTGTTGTTAGCTGGGTGCCCACACACAGGTGTGACAGCTGCTCAGTTCACAGACAACCGAAGGCTAATGCTGTGTTCAGTGACACTCGCAAGATACGCTTTCGATACTTCATATACATTTTCATGAGTTCAAAAAAACTAAACTTTCATATTTTTTCTGACTTAACCATCTTCAAAGAAAAATAAAAGTTACACATGTTAGGAGCAGCTGAACTATGATTTTAGTGAGTGACAGGATAATACAGGTTACCTATTAATATAACTGATATAATCATGTTTTATACGTTAATAGGAGAAGTCCATGAATGCACCGGAAGGGCTGATTAAAGCCACCAGGCCAAAGATACATGACATTGACAATGTTGCCTCCAAGCGGCGGGATTTGGTTAGTGCATGCCCACACAAAATAACAGAAACACAAATAGCTGACAAATTTGTACCAATTATAAGTTAAGTACCAAGTCTGTTTATCTCAGTTTTATTTACCAGTCCACTGAACAGTAGGATACAGCTGTGTGTCACAGTGCATGATATTTGCAGACACAGGGATGCTGATATTTTATTTATAATTTGGAATAATGATTACATGATCCCATGTGATTGTCTGTATTGTAAGTATTAACACATTTATTTTAGCTTTGAAGAAATGCTAAATCTGGTCATGATTATGTTTCTTTAAAAAGAGCATTTACAGTTCTCACTTTTTCTTCTTACAGCTGTAGACACTGCCATGCAAAATGTGTGGAGCTGCTTTCAATTATCTACACATCTACATATCTAGTATATTGCAGGAAAAAAAAGGTGAGGAACAGGATTTAATTGTTTAATTTAAAGTGTTAAAACTGTGAATTCCTGAATAAATATCCTCATTAACCTTTTAATTTGTGCTGTTTGTCAGATGATTTGCTATTTGTCTAACCCTTTGCACCTCACCTGTTACTACCTGAACACCTTCAAGCTATGGGTAAGGTATGCATTGCACAGGACCAAAACTCTTTGCATCACACATCATCATTGAGAGGTAAATGATAAAAGACATGTTCCCTCAGAGCTGACACTGGGGGGCAGGCATAGAGGAAGCTTACTGTACACTTGCCTGTTAAATCATGCTGTGAATGTCTCAGTGCCGCAAGCATCCACAACATGTCTACTGTCAAGCTTCACAGTGTGACCATGAGACCTGCAACACACAGGCACAACCAAATACTGATATACACTTAATACTGTTAAGCATTTACTAACATTTTTTTTAATCACAGTTATACAAACACTGCAGCAGCATGACCCGTGCAGACCATAATGTGGACTATGTTAGATATTTATCTTTTCTATCTGTGACTGTGGTTTAGCCGTCAGGCAGGAACAGTGGAGCTGTTCACCTCTGCTCAGTATTTGACTAAATTCAGCTAATATGTAAATGCACTGCAGCTCCAGCTCTCACATGATGGAAACACAGGCCCACATGTTATCAGAAAGGTGTCTAAAATATCAATCGGCATATATAGAGAAAATAATGAAATCAAAGTTTTTATTTGTCCAGTTGTGAGATACCTTAGGTGTCATGGCTTTCTTGGGAGAAATCTTATCATTGTGAGAAAAGTCTCCAGCCAGCTATTGTATCACCCCCAACCCACCCCACCCACCTGCCTCTCCACCTTCCTGCTGTTTTTTTTCTCATCATAAGAAAAGAGAGACAATCCTTTCAGTCTTTTGTGAAAGGGGGGAATATCTCTCAAGAGAGAAGGATGTGATTATGCTTTCAGAAAGGGGGCAAAAAGTAAAAGAAAGAAGGGGGGTTTAAAAAAAATGACAAAAGCCACACATTGCTCAAGTTCCCCCACCCTGGAGGTTGTTGTGCAGCGACTTGCTAGCTTAGGTTTGGGGTGGGGTTGTCCAGCCTTAGGGGCCTGTGTGAAAGCAAATCTTCCAGGTGTCAGCTCCTCAATAGGAGAGGAGAATATTATCTGGTTGTCCATTGTGCGTATGAATAAGCAGGGGTTTGCCACAGACAGCCTGAGATTTTTTTCCATTTGGGTCTTTTCCTCCCGCCACAAGGGCTTTCAGGTTCACGTTCGGCTCAGCCCAGTTCTTTTTTTCTTCTTTTACCTTTCAGCTCTCATACTGCAGTTTCTGGTTTATATTTTCTCACCAAAAACTGATGACTTTTCAAGAGGTTAAGCCAAGGTCAAGAAAAATTTCTGAAGATGCATTCCAGGGTGAAGACAGTTGTTCCACCTTGCCTACCTCTGGAAAACTTGTATGGCAACAAAACAAAGAGGGAGAAATAGCGGCTGTCAGGGGTTAGTGTGACCTCCCTCTTTCTGTGGAAGCTGTTGAGGGAAGAGGAAGTTGGATTTCATCTTCCCCATTGGCCACTTCCTCTCTCAGCTACCCCTCCTTAACCTTTCCCTTTTTTTTTTTTTTTTTTTCCAAACCAACAGGTTTTGCCATAGTCCACTGCTGCTGCTGCTGCTGCTGCTGCTGCTGCTGCTGCTGCTGCTGCTGCTGCTGCTGCTGCTGCACCACCGTGACATGCCACAATGTTGCCGGACCAGTCGGGCTGTACACAAGCCACGACACAGTCACAACACATCCACATACTGGTGATAACTTTCACCACCGAGGCCATGTGACTTCATTAACATATTTAGAGCACACACACACACACACACACACACACACACACACACACACACACACACACACACACACAGGGTTTGTTGAGGCATATAATGGTGGTGTTGTTACTATGTATTTGGGGAAAGATAAAAGAAACAAAATTAAAAATTAATCAGCACTTGAACTCTCATCAGAGGGAGAAAAAGTTAAAAGCAAACTTAATAGTACAGACTGTTTTTTGTTTTGTTTTTTTTTTTTGCTGTTGTGCAATGATGCAAATGCAATTGTTCATTGTTTCATTAAAAGTGACCCTGGGAAGCCCCGAGAAATCACATCAAGAGGGCAAACCATGCCTTCAGGCAAATACGTTTCTTTCCTTGACACAGACACACACACACACACACACACACACACACACACACACACTTACACACTTATACACACAGAGTGCAACTGAAGGAGAGGTGAGGTCTGGGGTCGGGCAGACATAAGCTGGTCAGACAGAGGCTGATTGTGAAGGTGGCGACAGCGTTCACTAACCTCGCTAACAGCAGCAGCTCTCTGATATTTGGGCCAAATGCAACTGTAAGTGAATGGAGTCAATAACATTGGCTCAAATGTCAGTTATTTATTTGTGCTATAGCTCCCAAGAGAGTGCTTCAAGTACAAAATATTTTCATGGCAGTTTGTATGATACCCTACCATAAACCATTCAAACTTAAATTTTGTAGCAACTTTTATACAGGTTAGTGCAAAAAACATAAAGAGTAAAACAATTGCAAACTAATGCATATGGGGAATTTAATATGAAAAAATGATAATATTAAACAATGAGTGTGTGTCATTTTTGCAGCATTTAAAAAGTTAGTATAAACCTTTTCAAAACTAGCAATAATATGAATACTTATCCAGATAAAAAAAATGCATACCCTAAAACTTTTCATTCAAAGTCCACGTAGCTCTCCATGTTGCTTTTGCTGCAACTTTTTTCTAACCACTGATCCATCTCTGCTAACTCTATCGACTGATGATGACCACAAGTTATGGCTGAAAGCTCCAGAAAACAAATAGCAAATGGACACAGGTTTAAGATCTTTTTTTCCAAGGTCAAGAAGGCTGAAAGATTTAGTATTAACACTGAAACATATACATTAATATTTATTGTTTTACTAAAGCTAAAATGAATTCGAATACACAATGCTAACAGTAAGTCAACCCTGTCTTCTAGAAATGATGCTTGTATACGACTGGTATATAAGTGGCTTTGTGGCTTTCAACATTTTAACCTTGTGGACCCTCACGTCTATTCGTGGACCCTCAATGGTCGTGAGCAGATCATTTGAATAGGAGAACCACAGTTTGCTAGCAACTGCTTAAAAAGTACTTGATTGTATCAGTTAATTTTAATGCACACAGAGGGATGACAAGTTAAAGGTAAATGAAAGGGACCTGTACTCAGCTAGAGACACCTAATCCTGGCCAAGTCCAGACAAGCTGCTTCTCCCTGCGAAAAAACTCCTGGTATGTAGGATACACCTTTCACCTCTCTCACAAGAGTGGGACACATACACACTCTCTATCACACACACACACACACACACACACACACACACACACACACAGACGAAGGTATTCTGTGGCTCTCGGCCCCTGAATTTCCAGTCTTGTCCATGCCTGTTTGTGGCAGCTTGTACAGTAGCCCTCACATTATTTCAGCTGTCAAACCGTCGCATGGCAGACATTCCAGCAGGCAGAAGTCATACAGGGAGAGCTACAGACAAGAGAAAAAGCTGACACATTATTTTCATTAAGGCAAGCAAAACATATTTCTCACTTTGTTTTTTGAGTGGAGTACATTATATATGAGCATGGACAGATCATGAGGCAACAGGCCCCCGGGCACATACAGTATAAGCCCTCCCCCTCCCTCCTACACAGGTACAAGACACCTACACTGACAGAGACACAAAATGTTGTTGGTAGTTTTTTGTCTCTTTGTGCTAGTTTGTTTCAAATTGTGGTAGTTTTGCATCTCTGTAGTAGTTTTGCGTCTCTTTTTAGTCATTTTGCATCTCTTTGTGGTAGTTTTGTGTCTCTTTGTGGTAGTTTTGTGTCTCTTTGTGGTAGTTTTCTGTCTCTTTGTGGTCGTTTTGTATTTCTTTGCTGACTAACCTTTATATGATAATTTTAAAGGCTCTGGGCACAGCAATAAAGGTAAATTCAGTAATCCAGCTATGTTCATTGAAAAAGTAGTAATAAAGTTGATTAGAAGAATGCTTGAAATTCATTAACTATTCATCATTCATTCATTTTTTTCTGCATTTGTTTCTCTCCTACCTTGAATCAAGTCTTCTATTTCCCTGTCTTTTGTCTCTCTTACTCATCTCTGTGTGCTGTTAGAAGAAAAGGACCCCACCTGTATTTATCTAGCAGTTCCATTTGAACACACTCAGACATAGAAAGAGCTCAG